CACACACACACACACACACACACACACACACACACACACACACACACGCACGCACGCACGCACGCACGCACACACAGAGTCGTATCCCCGCGAACGGCGAGTTCTATTCGCAACGTCGCGTAATTATCCAATAAAGAAGGAACTACAAGACAAACATGTGACATCGATGTCAATGTATATATATATATATATATATACATATGTATTACAACCCGATTCTCCAAATGAGCGACTCCCATTCCCGTTCCTGAATTTTTCGAAACTCGTTTTGCTTTCGGCTCGCGTGCCGCCGAGTTGCTGGAAAATGCGCGGATATGTACGGTAAGAGATGGCATGACAAGAAAGGGGAAGAGAAGAGAGGAGAGACGGGTCGGAAGGAGATCTACGAAGCGGTTTTCGAGCGTTCTCTCCGATCGCTTTCGAAATCTGCCTCGAATTCTCTCTCGCCGCAGAGCGCGAGTTATAAAGAAAAAAAAGTTAACAAAAAAGAAGGGGAGGAGGTGGGAGAGAGGAGATGTAACGGGGACGAGCTGTCAGGAGAATAATTTGCTAAATGGCGTTGCTCTCATTTCCACGTTGATCGATATATTAATTTTATTTCTCCTCCCTCCGGGGATGATCCCGCGGAATCTCCGGTGAACGCGGAATGCACTTTCCATTACGGCTGGAAATGGACGTAACGCTTCTCCGCAGGATCCTCGCGCGCGCGAGAGCGCTTTCTACATTTTTGGGAACATCCAGCGGCCTCCTTCCTTTTCTATTTCGCGTACGATCCTGACGGGAGAGATTACTCATGGACGCTCGGACGCGCATGCGTCTCACCGGCGTTCACGGTAGGCGTGCTACGACTCAGCCTGGCCGGTCATTTCTCTCGGAGCCTCGGTGCCTCGAAGTACGGCGTGCGTATCCGACGCGCGTGAGGCGAGGTTTGTTCGCAATAAGGATCCCAGAAAGAGAAAAAAAGAAAGAGAGAGAGAGAGAGAGGGCTGTGTATGAATCGGCCATAGTGTCGCGGCGAGTCACGCGAACGGAACGTCACATTCGCGCGTTTCAATCACGATGGGAAATAAAGAGCATGATATCGACACGGGTAGAAAGAGAAAAGGTATGAGAAAGAGAGAGAAAGAGTCTGTTGAGTTCCACCATCGACGACGAATTTTCGACGCCGCGAATCGCTCGTCGTTTCCGCCGTCGCGTCAGACGACGTCGAGAAAAAATCGTTCTCCGCGACACCCTTTTCTCCGATTTTCGCGGAAAACGGAACTCGCCGGAATTATGACGAATTCCGCCGCGGAAGGAACAAAGCTCACGGGAAACTCACGGGAGAGAAAGAGGGACAGACCGCTTTTTCCGTCGTTTCGAAACGTCGGCCGTCGGACGACGACGCGCGTTCCTAGCACTGGGAATCGATCGTGTGCCTCGAAACGCAGCGAGAATGACAAAAGTGAACGGATTTGCACTGGTATTTTTCTAATCTAATCGGTCAACACCTTGTGAATTCGCTCACTTTCGTCATTCTCTCACTCGGCACGCACAATCGAGCCGCTGTACGTTTCCCTCTTTCTCTCCCACGCAGCTGTATCGTAGCGACGACGACGTAACGGACGATGCACGTCGGCCTACGTGCATACGTGACTCCATCGGCGGAGTTACATCACGTTCTTTCGGAGGCGGTCACACGGGGAAGAGAAGACGCGAGACACCAACGAGGCCGGCCGCGGACGAAGTTCGCGTTCGGAGCGAACGGAGCGGGCGGCGGAGGAGTGCCACGACGAAACGGAATCGGAGCGAAATGATACGAGCGACCGGAGGTCACGAGCTAACGTGGCCATTATGTAAAAGAGCGTTCGTCGTTACGCCGTCCGTTACATCGGCCGGTCGCGAAAAATGGCGACGAGGCGTCTTACAAACCGAGGCGTTTCCGGGGAGAAGAGGACGCGTTTTTCCGCGAGTACCTCTCGCAGCAGCCGCGAAGACGAAGGGAGGAGAGTTCGGGATTTTCGTTTGAGAGCTTTCGGCATCGTGCTCGAGGAGCGGGCTCGTTCCGTCGGCGGGACTCCTCGGGAACCTGGACGAACGGAGGCGTGAGCGACGCGCACTCGGTCCGCAGCGGCCGTCGTCCGGCGCTCCCGTCGTTCCCGGCTAGTCCTCGGCTCTTCGACGAGATCGAGGCCTCGTGTTACGCGAAGCCGGAAGCCCGGTCGTCGCGACGCGCCGCGGAAACACGCCCGCGAGGAAACCGGAGAAACGCGTCCGCGACGCCCAATGCGATTACAGGCGTCTGGTCTCGCCGCTCGGCGCGGTCGCGCAGCGCCTGCGCGCCCGCACGCATGCGCACTGCCGGCCGCATGACCGGCTCTATATTGCGGGTCCCGAAAGTGGGGCGGACACTCCGCTACGAGTCGGCGGATTTTCCGCGAGTTTTTCCACATCCCCTGTACATGGCGTTTCTTCTCGCGATTCGCGCGCGAATAAGTGCGAATAAATTGCGCGATACCGCGCAATGAGATGTATCGAGTTTTTCGCGTCGCAGAGCTCGGTGAGGTCGCGTCGCGTTCAACGAACTTCCCGGTCAACACCGAGCGTAATTTACGTTACATTTATGCGGGGTTGGAATTAAATCAACTTCTTTTCTGACGTTAAGTTGCGAGTTAATGGCTTCATTAATTTAATTAAGACAGTAATGTAACCTAAACAAAAAGTAGTTAAAAGTTGATTTATAATTAAGTTAATTTATTAAAGTTAAAATTTATTTATACGATGCAAAAAAAAAATATATATATATATATAGTTTAGAAGAAAAATAGATTAGATTTATATATAGCTTTGCATAATTAATTCACCCAACTTTCGATTTGTATTATAATTTCGCACTTAATAATGTAAATGTTACACAGCACTCCGTGTTGCGAAATTACAATACGAAATTACAATACGGATATAATGTGACCAATAATGCTCGGTGTTGGCTTGCTTCTCCTTCTCATCACGGCGAGAGTTCACGTCCGTCGCGCATTACGTCGGGATGTTTAATTGGATCACGCTATCGTCGATTGGACTTGCAAATCCCACGTCGATTTCCTTTTTTCTTTCGCGGTCTCACGGAACAGGAGAGAAGCTCGATCGTCGCGTTTAGCGCGCGCGTGTTTTCCGACGTACTCCTCGGCCGTACGATCGTACCACTTTTAACAATTTCCCAACTACCCCCTCATTACGAAGTTCTTAACCGCGAGACTGCGGATCGGAAACCGTGAAAATTCCCGCTCGCGCCCCGCAATCGCGCCTCATTACAACGTTCCGACGTACTTATTAATAACGCGTAGCGAACGAAGGACGAAGTTTACATACTCGCTCCGTACGCTCCGCAGTAATTGCACAAAGCTCGCTCGCGCAAGCAAAGAGGCGAAACGTAATCCACCATGAAGACGCTTTCCGTTATCCGCTCCATTGTCTCGCCCGGCGCGATAGATTAAGCGGTAAAAAATTCCTAGAGCGAAAAAGTCGCGCGCGCAAGAGGAAAGGAAAGAACGACCCGGGGCACGAGACCTACGAACCCTCTTCTTAGGAGGGATACTAAACTCTCTCGACGCATCGGTTCCCGTTCCGCTCGTTCCCGCCGCGCACGATCGCACCACGCGTGAAAACGCGGCGAGAGAGACGAGGGACAGCGAGAGACACAAGCCGACGTTAGTCTCTTAATTGCACTATCTGTTATCCTTTTGTTTACCGAGCACGAAATAAGAGGTCCGCATCCCGCTTCCGAAGTAGGTTGCACTTTTCACCGTTAGAGTGAGACAAGTGTGCAGCTTAGCGTTGAAGAGAAAAGAAACGAAGTTCCGGTGCAGCCCTTATGTGGTGTTCAGGAACAACAAAACGGAAGGATAAATGATGATATAACCAGACTTGCGTCGACTCGTGTTTCCTGCTGAAAAACGACGAACGTCAATCCTTTAAAACTTTCAACCACAAGGTTGAGGTCGGATGCGATCCCACGGCTCGTTTATTTTACAGCGTGTACGCGTTGTTTTTCTTCTTAAGGAATGTTTCATGTTATAATTTACTTCTTTTGTCCATTTCGTGCATGGGAAACGAACGAAACAGAGCATGCACTGAGAAAAGGAAATTGTAATTTCGTTTAAAAATTAAATGTAAAAAAATGAAATGTTTCTCGTGACACTTTCTTCGATATTTATTGGTTAGAAAGAAATTTGATCGTGATATATATTTTTGTGAAACATATCTAAGATTTCTTATTAATTATTTTATTTGAATAAAAATCCCGCCGTATTTAAATAAACGTTTATTTCTGTGAAATAAACTTTATATCTCAAATCAATATTTAAGTCTTTTTTTCTCTGTATGTAGAGTTAGGTCCAACCTCGCTTTCCTAGATTCGTTGGAAATTCACCCTGTCGTTCGCGGATTAACGCGTGAGATCGTTTTAATTGCGATAAAATCGCGGTGACTACGTGCGTTATCGAATCGTTTTGCATCGCAATTAGACGCGCCGAGTAAAATAAGAACGACGAAAACGGAATACTCCCTTCTGCCATCGGACCGTTACTTATTGAATGTCGCGGCTCCAATTACGTGCGGCCGTTGCGTGTCACGTGTTTGAAGTACTAGATGGGACTTGAGCCTGTGTGACTCTCGACGGCGCGTTCGAAGATTCTCGTTCCCCCGAGCGCCCCTGGACGAAACGTCCCTGGCCGGTAAGCGCACTACTTTTCTACCGCATCCCCACCGGGTGTATCGAATGTACGGGCTAGCGAGCGTCGATTGGCCACGGCGACGATCTCCGGGTGGGGATCACCGCGTCACGAAACGAGGCCCTCTCGGCGTCTGGGCGGTTGTATCAATGCGCAATCGCATCGGAACGGTACACGGAGTCAGGGAGTTCCGTGGCGAGGCGAGGAATAAACAGAAGTGGATAGTCCGCGCGCAGCACAGACAGCGGCGAGGAGCGGGCGGTGGAGGGAGGAGAGCGAGGCGGCCGAGAGCGAGCGAGCAAGCGAGCGAGCAAGAGAGGGAGAGAGAGAGAGAGAGAGTGAGAGAGAAAGAGAGTGAGTGAGAGAGAGAGAGAGAGAGCGCGAGCGAGCGGGCTGACGGAGTGGGAGAGAGCGAGAAAGAGGGAGCGAGCGAGCGAGACGGACTGAGCGAACGGGACGAGCGAGAGAGAGGGCAAGAGGGAGAAAGAGATAGAACGAACGAGCAGGCCAGCGAGACGATCACGATGCACGGAGGCGAGCACAAGCGGCCAGGGGCACAGGGCTGAGGGCTGAGGGCTCGACGGGGCCTCGATTAGCGTTCACGGGCCGGCTGCGACGCAGCCAGCGAGCGATGGAGCAGCCGAAGACTCCCGCGTCACGGCTACTCAACACGACCTGCATCGAGAACAAGGACGAGCTGGAAGAGGTAACATAAATATTTGAAATAGTCACTGGATACGTATCGAGTCCGAGGGCCTCCGCCATTGTTGCGACGGTCGCGCACGACGTTGACCTGTGGCGCTACGCGCGAATACGCGCGTTCTCGCGCCGGATTCGAACGCGAAGTCGCGTCAACACCTGGCCGACAGTCTTCTTTCTCACGCGTTTCCCCGCCGTGCCGTTTCATAACCGCGTCGGTTCGCGTTCTCGCGGTGTTTCTCACGCGAATGAGGAAAATGAATCGCTCTCGGACGTTCAATATATTCGCTAGGTCGGTTTCGGGCATCCTCCCAGGTTCGTATTCTTGTTGTTCACGTGAATATGCAAAACCAACGCTTGGCTTGATGATGTAGGCGTAGAAGAGAATATTCGTCGTCACACGTGCGCGGCGCCGCTCCCTCGTGAGAGATCATTGAATCACGCAGGTGTGTGACGTGTTCGTGAAGAACGTCGCATCAGTTTGCGATATGCTGCATCCCTCGTCCTTTTCAATCGTTTCGTTCTCGAAAGTTCTCTATATGACAAAATGTCGAATAAGAATATACATGTGTTGTTCTTTCCTCCCCTTCGCGACTACCTTCTCTTTCTTCATCACTTTTTAAACACGATGTTCACAATGAGAATTTCAGGCGTGAAACTTGAGCATTAAGCCTTAAACTTGCCTGGACAAAGAAATTGACCAATTGGTTATTCCTCTGATTCGTCTGTGATTGGTCAATGTCGTGCTTAAAGCTCAAGTTTTACGCCTGAAATCCTCATTGCAGACACTGCTTTATGAAGTTTATGGTATTAAGTAGTGCAATGTGCTTTTAGAAATTTGAGAGATGCTACACCGTACTGCAAAATTTAACCACGGGACTTTCGGAGAAGGAGGCCCACGACACGCTGAACAATGCAGTGTGCAAGGACAAGACACACGAAGAGGTCTCCTTAGGCTTACTGGTGGTGATCTTGACCGATCCGCAGAATGCTGCGAAAAGTTACAGAGACTTGACACTAATCACGCGAGACGGCCTCAGCATCGTGCTGATCCATCTCAGTCAATTAGTATTGGAGAGGTACTTGAGGTTGAACGACGTCACCAGGAGTCAGCTGTTGTGGTTGCTGCGGGAAATGATAAGGACTAGTGTAACCAATGTGGATAATCTTAGTTTAACATTATTAAGGCACGCAGCGGGCGGGGATATATCACCTAGGAACTTGTTCCTAGTTGACGCCCTCTTAGATATTTTCCAAGAGAATCGATCGTGGCTGGACAAATTCCCGTTTTTGGTCGCGTCGGTTGTGTACACGTATTTGCGGTTAATCGAAGACCACAACGCGCCCCATCTGGCCGGTTTGCGGCAGAAGGAAGTGACCTTCACGGCGACTCTGATAAGGGAGCGGATGGTGGACTGCTTAGCTATCGGAAGGTACGCACTCCCTCACGAGATTCCGGATGATTCTGGAAACAATGAAGGCGAACTAACGCGTATCTTCTTTCCTTTCAGAGACTTCGTGCGTCTGCTGCAGAATGTCGCCAGAATACCCGAGTTCGAGGCGTTGTGGAAGGACATTCTACAGAATTCCAAGTGTCTCTGTTCGAATTTCAACGGTGTGCTCCAGCTCCTGCAGACCAGGACCTCCCGGAGGTTTCTTCAGTCGCGTTTGACGCCGGAGATGGAGAGGAAATTGGTGTTCCTGACGAGTCAGGTCCGTTTCGGGAATCACAAGCGCTATCAGGACTGGTTTCAACGGCAGTACCTAGCCACACCCGAATCTCAATCGTTAAGATGTGATCTCATTCGCTTCATCGTCGGGGTTATACATCCGACGAACGAGCTGCTGTGCTCCGACATCATACCACGATGGGCGGTGATAGGTTGGCTCTTCACCACGTGCACCTCCACCGTGGCGGCCAGCAATGCGAAGCTGGCCCTCTTTTACGACTGGCTCTTCTTCGATCCCGACAAAGACAACATCATGAACATCGAGCCGGCGATCCTCGTCATGCACAACTCCATGAGGTCTCATCCACCTGTCACTGCCACACTTCTAGATTTTTTATGCAGGGTACGTTGGCGCGCGCGACCATCACGACGACTCTCTCGTTTTCCTCCGCGAGACTCGTTCGTGAATCGTCGCGAGAACTACATTTCTGACGCACGGTCTATTTGCAGATAATACCGAACTTTTATCCTCCTCTAACGGACAAAGTGAGAAACGGGATATTTTCATCGCTGCGGCAAATTTTGGAGAAACGCGTCTTACCTAGCCTATATCCGTTATTCGACAGCCCGAAACTCGATCGAGAACTGAGAAGCAAAATACGGGAGACGTTCAAAGAGTTTTGCCTGCCGCCGAACGCGGATCCTGGTAAAGTCATTATATTAACCGCATGTATCCCTTCCGTATTTTTCTCTCTTTTTTATCTCTCTCTCTCTCTTTCTCTTCCTTCACACTCTTTCTCTTCTTCTCCCCTCTCTCTCTCGCTTTTTGCCCACACATCACGCTTGCTGCATGATACACGTCCACCATGCACATTGAACTACCTATTGCACAGGCTAAGCAAAGTCAATGCTTCCTTGGCCTCCACGTGCAAAGCTTGTCGTTTAAACGAAGTAGCATTCGCAAAGAATCAATGACGTTACAAGCGCATATACTACATCATGAATGGATAAAAACGAGGGAGATTTAACTTTTCTTGAATTACTTTTCGTTTACAAATATGACAATTCACCTTTTCAGCTTTCAGCACATCGCTTACTAACTTTGGTTTTTGCATCCTTTTCTGAAGCAGGTAATAAGGTTCCGATATATTCAGGTAAAATGGAAGAGCTTAACAAGGAGCACAATCCAGGGACCGTGATAGAGAACACCGCGAACTCTACCGTGGAGAACAATCACGTGGCGCAAGACCCGGAGCCAGCGTTCAGTGATGAAGAAGAGGAGTCCCCTCTAAGGTTGTCTATCCGTTACGTTTCTCACACGTTCCCAGTCGACATTTTTTCATTCCGAATTAAGTCTTCAAGAGAAAGGAAAGAGGGAATAAGTTCGTATTTGTAGCATCAAAGGAACTTAATAGAAGACCTCTTTGAAAACTCAATGTAGAACTAAATTAGATGAAGTAAGACCAAAATTTCGACTCACGCGTTCTCACGCATCCCGAGTCGGAATTTTGAATTCTATGTTGAATCTTCAAGAGGAAGAAAATAGAAATAAGTTACTACTTGTAGCATCGGAGAAGCACAATCGGTTCTTTAATGCTACAAATGAGACTCGGGACTTCCAGAGTCTAAATTTTAGTTCTAATTCATGAAGTCTTCGAGTGGAGAAAAGGGCAATAATAACGTCACCCATTTTTAGCATGAAAAGAGTACGATAGAAAACTTTTGATAATCTTAATGTAGAACTGAATCAGATTTAAGGTAGGACTAAAATTTCGATTCTGGTACCAGCGCACTCTGAAGTCTCTCGCGTTTGAGATCGGTAGATAAAATAATAAAATTATTGGTCTGACCGTGTTTCGCCGCATTTCAGAATAGTGACGAAGGTGGAGGACGAGGAAGATGAAGAGGATGTGCCGTTGTCAGCGGTAAAATTGAAGAACGAGCAGAGAAACGCGAACTGCGTCGTGAAAAAGGAGGATATCGCGCCGCAATTGAATTTCATGCTAGAGCCGGAAGAATTGAGAACCAGCGTCGAGACCTTGCACACGGAGACCGACAACGAGGCGAAGTGCCAAGCGATGGAGAGCATAGTACAAATGGTCGTAGAGGACGAGATAGACGCCGGCATGATACCCACGCTGGCGTCTTACCTATCGAGCATCCTCTCGCCGCTGATCACGGCGAATATCTTTCCGCCGGAGAATCTGAACGAGGAAACGCTCACCGACAGCATAAGCACGCCGCTGTTCGTCATGTTCCGAAATCAATTTCAATTGTGCAAGGAAGAGGACAATCGGCGAAAGCTCTTGGCCAGAGTGCTGGCGGAGATGCAGTCGCTTCAACCGAAAATAGGCTACCTTCTCCTCTATTTCCTCAAGGTCTGGGGCAGGGAGGAAGAGAAGCGGGAAGGCGAGCCGAGGTTGGTCCTAGGCAAAAAAACGAGATACCAAAGTGAGAAAATAAGAGGGAGAAAGCGTAACTCGAGCCTTACGTCGTTTGATTTCAGCAACGTGTTGAACGACGTCAAGGCGTCGGTGTACAAGGACTTTTGCGCGCAGAGAGAAAAAAAGCTGGACGTCTGTCTGGTGTCGGATCTAAAGGTATGTATGTGTTCACTTTTCTTTTTGTTCCTCGTCGGAATAAATGACGTAACTTTACTCATCGTACACGAAAGGAAACAGCCTCTGGATACGTGATTTATTTCCGCAGCTCTGTCACGAGGATAACATATTCATGTTGTGCTACCTCGTGCCGGACGTGTACACGGGATTTCAAAACGTTGCCCTGGGGAACGCGCAGCTGCTGCATCTGGTCGTGTCTACGGTGGACTCGTGCCAGTTGCAGGACCTGATCTGCCAGATAATGCAGGGCCACCTGAAGATGCTGAAGAAGGAGTCGTTCACGTCGCTGTTGACGGCCAGCCTGAACTGGGACACCTTCGAGCAGTACTGCTTGTGGCAGCTCATATTCGCGCACGACTTCCCCATTGATTACGTACTGCCGGTACTGCCGAAGCTGCAGTTTCGCAATCACGCGGAGGCGCTCACGTCGATCCTGTTCATGCTGAAGCAAGAGAAGTGAGTAGCGCAGCTGAATTTCCGTGCGATCGGAGACTCTTCGACTGACTCGACACGGTCGCTTCGAAACATAACGCTCGTGTCGTTCACTTTACAGACCGACATTGGATCTCTTACGGCAGTTGCTCGCTCGACAAAGCGTGGACGGCGACATGTTCGTCGTGGCCGCATTGCGCTATTGGTGTCGAGATTACGAGGAGAAGCTCGGCGAGCTGCTGGCGAACCTTCTCAGCGCCCGTTATCCCGCCACCAGCCCCAACAAGCGAAAACGTTCCGGAGGCAAGCAGAACCAACAGTCGGGCCCTCCCACCGGCGAGCAGGTGCTCGGCCATCTGGACCAATTGCGTCAGCACTGCTCCTCTTCCGCGGAGTTACAGCTCTATCACTCGGAGGGCATGCAGCGTGCGCTGCAGCAGGCGCAGGCCGCGAGCAGCGACTCGCTCAGGAAGAGCTATGGTGATCTGTTCGCGCTCGCCGAGGTGAACGAGGAGAACGAACCGCCGCCACCACCGGCGAGCAGCTCCGCGAGGAAGCACACCACTGCTTCCTCTGGAGGAGGCGGCGGGGGCGGCGGTAAGGGCGGCCACAGGAAGACCGGCGCTAACACGAGGGAGAGGTCCAACGCGAAGAGACCGCTTCCGCGGTATCATGTGGACACCACCTCTAGTAGCGAGGTAAGCGCTCCTCTAACAAGGCTGATATTCATAATATGATGATTCGTGATAACGATGATTATTCGTCAATCTGTACAGTGTCGGATGTCATGTATACGCTGTACTATTTCCTAGGTCGAAAACTACACGATTTTCCGCCTTAGGATCTTAGCAGAATGGCCGACTTGTAATTTTAAGACAATACTTTATGCCCCGAATCTTCGTCTGAATGATCTTTTTCTACTTTTTTATTATTTTATACTAGTGGTTTTTGTCATCGGTCAAATAGAATGGCTTTTTTGTCGGAGACACCAAACAAGTTATGCTTTGTCCACAACTTTGCTTGAATGAAGACGTAAACAGCAAGCAAATTGACCAACCACGGTCGATTATTCTTCTAATAAACTGTTGTAGTTGGTCAATTTGCCGACTGCTTACGTCTTAAAACAAGGCTGTGGACAAGGGATTGTTGTATGTGTTACTTAAGATAAAAACTTAAGGCATAAAACGTTGTTTTGAACTAATAAGTCGATCATTCTGTCTTACACATATAGACGTAAAGGTCGAAATCGTCATAATTAAAGTCAATTTATTCTCTTTTAATTATAATTAAAATTATTTATGTGATTTTCAATCTTATTGTGGGTTATATACAAGGCTGAAAATCGTAATTTTCTGTCTAGAAAATAGTACAGTATATATGACACTATACATAAACATACACACATACACAGTCCGTAGATTAAAGGTTGCACAACACTTTTTTCAATGAGTTTCGTAATGCCTTTTGTATCCAATAAGAAAATGCATTTCCCGAGAATGATTACAAATCAAATTCTCCTATTAGATACAAGATGCGTTGCGAGACTCGTCGAAAAGGTAAGTATTGCAGCCTTTAATCTGCCGACTGTACTTATTTCGTATAGGAAATATCAATTGAAATTAATCGGACAATGGTAATTAAGGTTTCTTCGCCGTAGCCGTATTGATTAATGGCGTCGGAAGCGAGAAAACGTGCGCCCAAAATTCTTACAAGAATCAAATCTTACGTTGAAATCGAAGGTTACGTCCATAAAGCGATACTGGCAATCGGGTAAGCGTATTTGTAAACTATTCTGGAAACTTTCCACTTACATTAACAAACTCAATAAATAACCGTAAAACTAATATGACGAAATCATGATAAAAGATAGGTGTCACGTTAATTATATGGTTATTTATTGATTGTTCGAGCAAAAGAGGAAAGTCATCGGAATATTTCACAAACGTGACCTCGATCGATCGCAAGTATCATTTTATGGGTATATCTTTTTATCTCAACATATTTCGCAAGAATTTTCGACATGTTTTCTCGCTTCTGACGTCATCAAATAAAGCGATTGCGAGGTGAGGCGATTATGGTTGATATTCATAGTCAGATCTTATATTTAAAATCGCCTTAAGTTTATCTTCAGATAATATATGAATGTTCGTTTTAGCTGAACTAGAATACGCTTTTTGCAATTAGAGAGTGAAACAAGTATGTGACCTAGCGGTGAAGGAAAAAGGAAAGAAGTCCCAGTGCAGCACTAATTCAGCTAAAACAGTTTATTGGCTACAATACATCTGAAGATGAATTTGAGACGGTCTTAAATATAAGATCTGATTATCAGCCCAAAAGACTTAAGTACACATGTATGAGTCATGTATGCCTTACTAATCCCTAGATCAAAAGTTATACGATTTCAGGCTTATATATGTACACATAAGGTCCAAAATCGTATAAGCAACTCTGATTATAATGACAGATTTATAATGGCTCTAATTTTATAATAACTTTGACCTTGTGTGTACACGTGTGAAGTTGAAGATCGTGTTGTAATTTTCGACTAGGAATGGTAAGACATTCATGACGCAGTGTGTACATAGACTCTTGGAGCCAGACTTTCAGAGCTTCCTATTATTTTACACTTTTTAAATAACATTATGTGTAAAAGAATATAACTGGACGCGTTCACTTTTCTATCGATGTTGTGGGATAAGCATACTCATTTTGAATTACGTGCGAATCGTTCAACGGATCAAAACATGTTTTTCGGCACGGAACAGGTATACAAAGGGTCTTTGTTGTTTGAAGAGTCCACATAGGATACAATAGAGAAAAAAAAGATTAGAGATTCAACAGCTGCTGTAACGTTCCCACAATACCATGTGCTGAAATATCCGGTGAAAAGTCGAAAAATTATGTATTGACAGAAGCGTTAACGTTATTACGCCGACCCACAATGCAGATCTATCAGAGATTGCAAATAATTTGCAATAACTGCCGGTCTGAGTAAAAGTGCATTACGACGGCGTGACAAACACCGTTCCTTTGCAGGAGGAGGAGATCGTGAATCCAAAGCAAGCGAAAAAAAGAAAAAAGATTAATCCAGTGGGCTCGGACAGCGACTGACCACCCAGTGTCTTCACATGTCACATGGACCACGTCTCGTGTGTGCAGCAGATAAAACTAGCCTTAAGGATAGTAAGATAATATAATACACACGATAGTTCTATCTAGCGCGACTTGTAAATATTAATGTGCGTGTCAAGGACGCGACAGCGTCATGTTGATGGTGGATCTTCAATGTGTGTTTCGTAAAGTCGCAAGCGACAGCAAAATTGCCAGGCTCTGATTGTTATCGTTTTGTGTTGGATTAGGTTAGGTGAAGAAACAAAAGAGAGAGATAGAACTGTTGGGTAAAAAGACACCATGTGTGCATGATGATGATGATGATAAAAATCGTCCTCGGACGCGTTTCTGGACGTTTCTGAATATGAATTTGCGAAGCTGTTAAACGTCGCTGTCCCGGTGTATTCTCTCATTACGCATACGACGGTCGAGCGGCCTTTCATCCCTTGCGTTTCTTCTGGAAATCCTCGTGATCGTCAGGCTGCCGCGGCGTCTGTTGAACGGAGATAACTACCAAATAAAGCGGCAGCTCTCATCGTCCCCCCGTCATACTGCAGCCGCTTTTCTCGTAAATGCGAAAGCGACGGACAGAATCTGGCAACATTGCAAATAAACCAATACATCTTTTTGCACTTTACCACGTGTTATTGTTTTTTTTTTTCTTCTTGACGGATCTTCTCGTTCGTTCCGTTCTTCGTAACACTTTTTTCCCCCCTCGGAGTAATCGCGCGCGAGTGGACATATATCGTTGCCATATATCTCCCAAACGGAAATTCGCATTCGAATTGTTGGCTCCTCTTCCCCAGGATTGGAGAACCTTTTCGCCGGGACGACGAAGCACGATCCGAACTCTGGCGAGAAGCGTGAAGTTTTACGACCAAACATTTATTCAGTTCTCGAATACGCGCTTAAAGGGATGTTCTCACTTGGGACGTTTCGTTTGATAGGCGATTGTTAGGAATTTCTTTGGAAAAAAACTAAGACATACAATTCTGAAGTTTTGCATAAATATGTATCTATGCTTTAACTATATACAGTAATTTCTACTATATTTATAGTATTAAATAAAGTCATACATAATTTTGTTGACGCCAAACACGAAATGTCGGTTGACACAATTCAAAGTGGGTCTTTGAAACAACAAAACGATAACAGATTATTGAACTATAAATTTGTGACTATCGTCGTAAACTACGATGAAGTCGACTTTTCTCGATGAATCATGCCATTTTGTCAAAATCGTTTTTTAATTCCCATTGGGTAGCCACAAATTTAGTTTTATAATTTTTTCGTCGTTTTTTTTTTAATCTACGATGTTTGGAATCATGTCAACCATGCAAGCAAAACTTTCATTCAGCGCTGCACAAAATAATTTGCATCTTTATTAATATCGAAGATAACGAATACTCTGTACTGTGTATTTATACGTTTTGTTAAAACATAGATAAATATTCATACAAAACTTCCGAATTGTATGACTTAGTATTTTCCAAAAAGAATAATTTCGAAAGGTCACCTGCAAATCGACGTTTTATGAATATATTTCCTTAAGTGAGAAAAGGATAATCATCCTCGAGGACGCAGGGATATCTTTTTCCTATAAATATTTTGCATGACGGAGGATTGTCAGCTTTCAAATAACTGGAGCAATTCAGATCGGAGGGTCCTCATCGAATAAATTAACTTTTTCTTTTGTTAAATTTTAGAGCGATTTAATGATTCGTTGTGATTGTGAAACGCGACGTGATACGATTTGTATTGTATTTTTCTATGTGAGCTTTTTACATCCCTTATATTTGTAGATAAATGAATATATATATGTGTATATATATATATATATATATATATATATATATATATGTATATGTATATACACACACACACACACGATGAAATTAATTCGTAGAGATCACAATATACCGACCAGCGCGTTACATCGGTATTTCATCCTTATATAAGTACGCGATCTTCTCGATGATATTCAATTGATTTCCCCACGCGTCATGCCGCATGTGAGACACGTGTTTTCCCCGAGAGATCCCGGAGGACAACCGGACGTACCATCCGCGAGAGAAAGAGAAAGAGTGGAAATAGAAAACGAGTGGAAATAGAAAGGAAGGCAGTCCTGTCGAACGTCTTAGCAAAACCCACGTTCCGAAGGCAAGACGTAAAGAACCATCGCATTCACTTATAATGTACATTTCCTGTAAAATTGGTTATTCTAAAAGTGAGTTGCATTATGTATTTTCTAGATTGTATATATATAAATATATATATATATATACACACATACACACGCGTGATTTGAAAGAGATGTGAGAGAGTATGTGTAATGTGCATGTGTGTGTGCGCGCGCGCGTGAGTGTGTGTATGCGTACGTGTGAGAAAGAAACATATTTACGTTGTGTATACATGGTGCGCGCGCGGTGCCGGGTTTGAAAATTCCGAACACTTTCCGTTTTCACCAACTTTATATCATACCCACTCAGCACCCTCCAAACCTCGCGCCTTCCTTCTCCTCCTCACCTACTTTCCTTGGTCTTATCTTGCAACTACGGGAGTGCGAAATCGTGTCGATGATCGAATAAAAATACGCGAGCGAAATGCACCAGAGAGAGAACATGCGGAACGTTCGTGTGTGCGGATCGTTTGTATGAAGGACGGATGCATGTAATATCCATTTGTAATGCCGCGTGATAACGGCATTACTCGAGTTTTCTACTTGTATATAAGTACGGCGATATACGTCGGGAGAGAGGGAGAAAGAGGGGGAGAGAGAAGGATAGAAAGAGAGAAAAATTTAAGAACGACGTATCGACAAGAAGAGTTCGTTTCAGCCATCTTCCTCGATTTCTTTGCTTTTTCTCCCTCCAATGTCCGAATATATATGTATATCTATCTAATTTGAAACGCAGAAAGTGCTGGCAGGCGCAGTTAAACAGACCTAGAGAGAGAAAGAGATAGAAAGAGAGAGAGAGAGAGAGATTCTCTCGAAGCGTGCCGCGAGCGAACACGGGAAAGCGAAAAGGGTAAATCGAAAGAGGCGAGGAGGACAAGAAAAATATGTAAACATTTAATGTTTTTAACGACCTTGTACACAGTGTGGAGGAACGTGTAAATATATATATGGATAGATTATATCATAAACGCGGGCATAAACATTTAATGTTTTTAACGATCTTGTACACATGGATTACACATAAAATGTAAATATATCAGAAAATATTGAAGAGGCAAAAACATGAGATTGATATCTGGTGTGATACTTACTTTCTTCTTCTCTCGATTCCCTCCTTCCTTCCTTCCTCTCTTTTCCTTTCTTTCTTCCTTATACGAGGGAAATATCGGCATCGACGACTGAGATTGTTCGTCGCTGCGACGGCGGAAGAACGTGGAAAAGTGCCTTCTCTTTTCATCCTTCGCCACTTTATAAGCGTACATAAGCTACAGGGATAATTCGCGAACAAGTTCCGCCGCGCCGTTGATGTGCTTTATGGTACGCAGAAACGTAGGAAACGTTATTCTGCGTTTGCTAATAAGCGATACCCGGCTCACCATGACTGGTAAGTCGTCGAGTATAATTACTGTTTGCATTATATCCTATTGTATCAATGCGGGTCACCGATTCGTCACGTGGACACCCCGTTGGACACGCAACGGTGCGTTTCGAGAAATCGCGCAGGCTCTCTCGTTGTGAAAGCGATTTCATCAATTTTCCTTCGTCATCGTACGTCACGCTGAGAGAAAGAACGAAAGAATGAAGGAAGGAAGAAAGGGGGGACACAATGTGTGGGAAAATTCGAGCCGAGACGAGCAAAGACAATAAAGGAGATCGTAGTAGTCAATTGTTACATATTATTATTGCTAAAAATGCAGCGGCGGGGAAAAATGGAATAGATTCCTTATTTATTTCGTCGAGAGATTTGCAGACACGTCATTGCTCGGTACGACGTATCTCTGTCCCTAACGTACAATAAGTCGATCGAATCTTCTTCTTTCTCTTTTTTTTTTTTTCTTTCAATTCGGCATATCCGTCCGGGAGACGAGAATCAACAATTCAATCGTCAGCAAGACCAAACGTAACGAACGTCTGTTTTCCGTTGAAAATAAGAGAGAGGTATCTATAAATATTATTGCCGATGTTTTTTTCTTCCTCACAGAGAATCTCGGATAATATTTACAGATAATCATACGCAAGATTCGTAACGGGTAGTTTATACACTTCGATGATTATAATTCGCACTCGTCTCTCTTTCCGCGCCGAGAGCCTCGTCCGCAACTAACTTGTCGGCGAAGATCAATGAAAAGCGGGAACGTACCGAGTCGCTCCTGATTTCACGTTATATATCTTACCGTTTGTCGCAAACGCGAGGAGAATCACTCGAGAGTTTATTCGATTATAAATATCCTTTAATATCGGTATCGGTGCTGCGAAAGAGGGAAAAGAAAAACGATGTCACCGATCAACGTGAAGATATATCCACGAGAAGCCGTATGTCCGCATTCTATTGATCTCCGCACTTTTGTGTTTTGTGTATGTGTGTAGGTATGTGTGTCACAAATGTGTGTATGTGTGTGTGTGTGTCGTCGCCTAATTAAAGTAGAGAAATAGTTCTGTTTCGATTGTGCACGGGGTTGTACTTTACATAGGTATTATTTTAAAAGTAATGATACCTGGATTCGGCCAATAAGAGTCGAGCGCTCGGCATTAGCGCGCGATGAGCATGACGAAAATTCCAGAAAAACTCAAACACTGGAGAACGTCTTGATCCTTTCTCTCCTTTTATATAGTATATATTAGATATACTATGTACAAAGTGACTTAAAAGTCCGGAAACGGATAATTATTTCCGAAATAATTGGTTTTATGAAAAAATGTTTGAGATCAAACTTGCTGTATTCGAAAAACTAGATGAAACCAGAGACTACACCAGATGACAATATCTCTGTGACCTTGAAATGACTGGTTAAAATGATCTTAAAAAATCTGAAATGGGTACACCAATCTTTATTACAGATTTTGATAACTGACGCCGCGACTTTTTTAAAACGCTACGATAATATCTAATTCAGATCTTTAGTTAAGAGGCTAGAAGGATTAAATGTTAACTTGCTAAAATCCAATTATTGCTTAACATCAATTATTTCGGAGATAATTGACCTATTCCGGACTTTTAGATTACCCTGCGTGTGATATATATATTTAAATATCGATACATCTAGACCCTTTTTAAAACATTTCGATCCTAACATTAATTGCGTTGTCGAAAATCGCTACGTTAATTTATTCGCACAGAGAGAGAAAAGTCCAAAAAATAGAATGTTTGTAAATTTGGAATGAGCATGAAAAAACTTCAAGAAAAACTTCAAACACTGGAGAATGCCTAGAATAGCATACCGAGAGAACATGTTTCAAAGATAGGACCTGAAAATCTGCGTTTATATTCCCAAGTGTCTGAAATTTTTCGAATTCTTTTTTTTTTCACGCATCTCACGCACCAGTAAGCAGCGTTCGACTGTTATCGGCCGAGTCGAAATATCGTTGCTTTTGATTATTATTTTAAAGTCCGGCGGGACGGTCGTGCCGCCGCGGCGCAATCTAATCGTTAATCATTAATCACAATCGTCGAATATGTACAAGAGGATTCTGTACAGGGATTCGTCCGCCCGTTCGCGTCACGCACACATCACGCGCTATCACGTACAAATTCGATTATTACACGTAAGGTATATCGCTATACTTTTACGATGCAAAAAGGTAATTCGTTCGTAGACTAATAAGCGCTGACTCGAGTCTTCGACTTCGTCGTCGTCGACGGCGTCTTCGACTTGGTCGTCGTCGTCTGAGGAGAACGCGTCACGCTCCGCTGCACGCTCGTCGAATCGCCTACGAAATATTCGAGATATGCAACGGGCGAGTGCCTTCGTTTAGGAAAAGAACACGAAATCGTGAAGAACCGAATGTGATCGAACGTAACCGTCCGCCCGATACTCCAATTATTCGAATTACACACATCGAGAAACGCACTTTCGCGTCTCGACGACAACGTAAACGGTAAATTGAAAGACGTCCCTCGGACGTTCGTATTGTTGATGTTCGGGAGAAGTGCGACGGATATATTCGAGAGGCGACGCGAAGAATTTTTCTCAAGCGCAACCGCGGTACTTTCCTCGTGGCGGATAATTAGGAGAGACTAAATCTCACTGATGACTTACCTTCTCTCTCTCTCTCTCTCTCTCTCTCTTGGGGCATCGTCCGACCATTTTCCACTTTTAGACGTGCGTTACAGTCCTACTTTTTTTTTCTTTTTCTTTTTTTTTTACGGCAGCTACAAAATCTAACATCACCGTTTGCAAAAGGCTCCCTCTCTCTCTCTCTCTCTCTCTATCTCGCTCGTACCTTCACGTCGGTGCGTATGCGAACCGCACCGGTGTAAACGTCGTCCACCGTCCGTTCGCTCGTTCGTTCTATCGTCAGCACACGTTCTCTCTCGTTGTGTACACGCGACAAACAGAAGTCCCGTCCGCGTAATCGCGCACCTATATAATCGTCGTGTATCCGCAATAATACTCTTGCTCGCGAAATCGGGACGCACACACCACGTACGCATGCACGCACACGCGCGCGCACGATATATTAATATACACACACCATTGATCCTCATTCGCATCTCCACGCACGCACAGCACACGCACGCACGCACATCGATATTTTTGCAATATCTCCTAGTAATTCCGTTACAATGTAGATCCGTATGCATATATATACACAATTGCCAGTCGCGCTTTAAGGTCCGGAGGCTACTGACGGCCTCGCTTCCGGAGAACTCTTTTCGGCGCCCTCTCCTCCCGCGAACGAGAGGATACGCATTAAAGCCACGTGCGAGGCTCGAACGTCGTCGAGGGAGAAAACACAAGTCTTTCTCTCTCTCTTTCTCTTCCGCCATCTCTTTCTCTCTCTCTCTCTCTCTCTCTTTCTATCTCTTTCTCTATACATATATACCTTTCTCTCTATCTCTCTCGTTTTATCGAGAGCGGGCTTAATAAATCACTTCGTATACGGTGGCCTTCTTGTCGCCGGATCCGGTCACGATGTACTTGTCGTCCGCGGAAATGTCGCAGCTCAGCACCGACGACGATTCCTTCGACTGCAAAGTTGAACAGAAAATTCGCGAAACATAAATATCACGCATATATACCTCGGCCGGTGCGAATGGACGCGACTCGCAATTGGCGCTTCGGATAAAGAAACGACGATCGCGATCATTATATCGGGCTGAACTCGTCGGCTTTAAGGAGGTTCTAGCGTTTATATACGAAATATGAGGCAAACCTGCAATGTATACATGATACAAAAGTTAATCGAACTAACAATGCGTGACAGGAATTTCATTAATTTATAGTAATATATACATGTAAGAATAGATTTAAACTTAAAAATTTCTTTCTATTATCCGTGCATCTCTATTAGATCAAATGATGCAAAAATATAGCGTTAATAGGAAAGATAAAAAATAATATTTTTATTGCAATATTGTGTACATATATTTACATCAGTTTCGTTTCAATGAACATTTATTATTTGGCGAAATAAATGAATAGAAGAGAAATTTTGCTTGATAAATCACACATTTATAAGAGGCCTCCCTTGATGCGTCACTGAAAATACGCCCCCAGCGTTAGAACCTCCTTAATTAGCGTCACTATCCGAGGCGGGAAAGAAACACTTCGCGGGACAGCCCGGGCTAGATGGACACGTTCGAGCGTTATGATACGTGCAAGCGTATCCAGTTCCGTATTGTTCGATCGCGTTAAGTAATCCTGCGCGTTGAGTCTCGTTTGTTTAAAATGCGTCACATGCGTGACGCGCAATGGGACGGCGATATCATAGCGTGATCCGGTGAAATCGCGAATCAATCGACGACAAACTCGAGTGCGAATAAATCCGGTACTCGGTAAAGTTATCATCATCATCATGCTGGATTTGGCTTCCGGGTTGGCGCTTTTTGCGGATTTGTTTTAGAGCCCTGCAAATCAAAGCTCAACGATACCCAGGCCCGGCACGATTCATTAGGCCTGTTATATAACACGTCGTATGTCGGAACGCAGCCGTTGATCCAATGAAGAGGATTCGTTTTCGAAAAATCAATTCTCTCACGTATAACAGGCCTTATCGAATATAACCCAGCCCGATCTGTATCCACTTTGATAAAATCAGACCCGAATCTCTGACCCGGATCATTTTGTTGACGAGAAATTGGTCCGGGTCATGCTCGAGAGTCTAACTTCGTCAAAGCGGGTATCGATCGGGCAGATCATATTTAATAATGGATGCATTTCCAGTACTGCAACCGCCCATTGAGCACCCTAGATTTGTGTATTAGATACAAGCACTCGCTGAGCCGCACAGAGTGAGCGTAATTTTATGTCGCTCACTTTTACATTTACTTATCTCCCTAGACAGCACAAGTTTCTGAAATATGTCTTAAAGATTTTCAAAAGACGTCCTATTTCCTACTTAGATATTTTTCAGACTTTAGAAGTTTGTGCTGTATGAGTTTATATTATTTAATACCACATCCTTACGAAAGAATTGGAAAGAGTAAAAACATTTTATATATAAGTTATTTCTTTCACGAATAAATGGCATATAAATGAATATATTAATTATTCTCTTAATAGTTCTTGTTAAATGCCTTATGATACTGAAGAGTATGAGCAGTACATTCGGCAAATAAAAATTGTTTACTGAGTTTCAGTATTGCACAGAAAAAGAAGCGTCTTAAATCAAGAAATTCTCATACATAAGCAAGAATATTATAACCTCCTTAGAAGATTTTTAGTCTTGATCTGATTGTATAGATGCAAGTATTGCTTGTTCTCAATTCAAAATTAAAAATCTTCTAAGAATATGATAATATTCCTGCTTATATATGAGAATACCTATTATTGATTTAAGACAATTTTTTTTTCTGAATGCATCCAATAAATTCGGCCTAATCGGTCTTATGGGGTCTTGTTTGATTTGCAAGACTCGAAACTGTTCCCAACGCTTCGTGAACATACCTATTTCACTTCGTCGAGGAGAAGAGCAACCCGATACGAGGAAGCCAAAGCTAGCATTTCTCTACATCGCGAAAGCCTTCTCGAATATCACATCTTTCATCATCGTCATTACTATTACTTACTATAACGGTTAGTATTGATACTCACCTGAAATATTGACGCACCGTACGGCGTACGCCACGCGTTCAGCAGGTTGTCCTTGCCGGTGGAGACGAACCACTTGCCGCACGAGGCGAAACGGAGCGACAGCACGCAGGACTCGTGCAGATGCAGCTGGTACTTGTCGGATTTGGTGGCGTGCAGCACCTCGACGTTCGAGTTCTCCATGCCGACCGCCAGCCACTCGCCGGTGGGGCAGTAGCCCAGCGAGAATATCTGCGAGGTGAAGTCGTGCTGCTGCAGCTGCCTGCCCTCTCGGAGGTCCCAGGAGCGCACGGTGTTGTCGAGGCCGCCGGTCCACAGCTTCGAGCCGTCGGCGGAGATGTCGATGCAGGAGGCGCCGTCCGTGTGGCCTTGGAACTGTCGCACCAACGTCTGATTCTGCAGGTCCCAGACGGCGATGTTGCCGTCGCTGCAACAGCTGAAGCAGACCTTGGAGTCCGGCGAGATCGCTAATGCGTAGCAGGCCGGCGCCGAAGAGGTCAACTCCGCCTTGATCCTCGGCGTGGGGCTCGCCAGGTCCCAGATGCTCAGCTGACTAGCCTCGCCGCCGACTATCAGTGTCCTGCCGTCAGGCAGTAGCTTCACGGATCTGCGCGCACAGAAGGACACGCTTGTTACTCAAGTCGCCTTAATCGATATCACTCACCGCAACGTTATTAAGTAACCACGGGCGTAGCACGGAGGAAAATTCTGTCGCGAATTCAAAAGAAGAGAACACAGGAGAAGAAATTAACCAGTTAACTGTTTTTGACGAGTATACTCGTCATGAAAAAAGTACAAAATTTTAACCTTAAATTGCCGCCAAAATTTTGTACCTTTTTCATGACGAGTACACTCGTCAAAAACAGTTAACTGGTTAAAAGAGAGTAGACAATGTGTGTGTGTGTGTGTGTGTGTGTATGTGTGTGGGGAGGGGAGAGGGAGAGGAGGGTAGCGTGTTGAAAAAAACAATTCATAATTTGCGAATCTGCAAAGAGAGAGAACACTGATAATCGTTAATTACGAGAAATAATCGTTCCGTCTAAAGATATTCGGAATTATCTGCACTTCCCAGACGATTTTCGAGGGCTACACCTACTTTCTTCTCCCCCTCTCCCGCTCGTCCGCTGAGCCATACGACTGACAGTCGTGGGCGTTCAATCCCAGCGCCGTTTAATTTTATGAGATCTGTGAAAACGCTTCCCTAATTTCTGAAAATTTATTGAAATTAATCTTCTGTGCATGTTATTTTTATATGCTACAAGTATGAGAGCGGTTTAGCTGTCGAAAGTAGTGAGAAAGGTAAGTTTTATGCTTCAAAAAGTAAGAAAATGAACGCTGCTGCGACTGTCAATCGCTTGGTTCGTCGAGCCAGCGGAAGAGGCAAGGGATAGTCGTCTCGAAAGAGTAAGTAATTCCGCAAGGTCTAACTGGTCTAACAAATAGCCTGTCAACAATCGTCTGTCTTCTTCCCTTCAGCTCCCTCTTTTCAACGCGACTACGTTCGACACGAGCCGCGTTGACCGGGAATCAAGGCATGCACAGTCTCTCTCTCTCTCTCTCTCTCTCTCTCTCGCCGGATCATTCGTCGCCGGCGATCGAGCCGGCATAGGGTCACGGTTGGCCTCACCTGATGTAATTGTCACGTTGCAGACAGTCCAGCTGCGAGACCGGTTTCACGCTGGCGCTGCCGACGCTTTGGCCGATATCCCAAACTTTGACACAACCCTTGCCGCCGGTGTAGACGTACTTGGTCGGATTCGAGATTGTGACGGCGCACACCACCTCGCCGTGAGTCAGGGTATTAATTTGGCGTGCGTGACGCGGTATCCCCGGTCCTATTAGAGCGTCCGTGGGGAATGGTACGGGCTGCAGTTGGCCCTCGCCGTTCATATGGAAGGAGTACGCCCTGCGGAAGTATATCCGGCTAAATGCGGGCGTGTTTAAACGCGCCTCGCGCGCTTCTGTGTATGCATCAATGTATACGCGCGTGTGTGTGTGTGTGTGTGTGTGTGTGTGTGTGTGTGTGTGTGTGTGTGTGTGTGTGTGNGTGTGTGTGTGTGTGTCAGAGACGTTCCGCGGAGACGAAGGCAATCCGCGGACGATCTGAGACTAATCTGTGACGATCCGTGAGGACCGCCGGCGCATCGTAAATTGTAAGACTACGTACGGTTTGCCGCCTGCCACGTTGCTCAGCCCGTTACTTGAGGATATCCTCATGTGGCTGTCGAAACCGAGCTGCGGAAGAGAGAGAGAAAGAGAGAGGGAGTCAGACGGTCATCGCTCAGTACTTGCAATGAGGAGAGATCAAAGGAGGTACATATACACACGCGCGCGCGCGATCGTTGCTCATACAAACTCGAGCTACAAATTGTCTACAGGGAGGGAATACTTTATAGCTTCTTTTTTTTTCATGTAAATCCTCTTCAAATTTACCATGTTTTCCGGTAGCGCAAAAATAAACTGTCAGTCTTGTGAAGGAGCACGGCAAATTTTTTAATAACAGACTTCGGTTCGCAAAATGTAAATAATATATATATATATATATATATATATATATATATATAATAATAATAATAATAATAATATATATTTTTTTTAAGGTTCCCCCGTGTCCTCGCTTTGGCTCTATCCTTGTTTGATAATGTCAGAAATGAGAAAATAAAAATATATAACGGTATATGTGGAGATAAAAGAATATATATACGAAATCACTCGTGATCGGTTTAGCACACTTGTAAAAATGCTTTCTTTTAACCTGAACAAGCAATATACCTAACTCAGTAAATAAGTGATAATAATAACATTAAATAATACTCGTAATAAAACAAATGGTCTACCGGAACAAGTAATGAGAAGGAGAACTGAATAGCCAACTGCATGAACATAGATGTGCGCAAGCAAAAAATATTAATGCGGAAAAGAATAGAATACAGAAAAAAGGAGTAAATAAAATAGCCTATATAACATAAAGTAAAAGAAAGTTATATTAAATTTACAAACTAGAAGTGTGAGAAATACGCTTTGATTGAATTTGAAGATTTGATTGAAATTGAAGATTTAAATCTAGGAAGTAATCCGTTGGAGAAATCAATCCCGGAGTACTCATCAGAATGCAAAGCTTATTTATGCAGCTAAATTTGACGTAAGGAGACCAATAAAACTAGTAATATTAAAGATTATAAAATATAAGACGGAATGATAATAAATTAAAGCAGAACGTCGATATTGTTCCTTGATTGATTACACAGCAATTCTACAGCAATTTTCACCATAAAGTTCCCTCCGTGTAACGAAAAACGCGATCACGCGCAAGCGTCATTGCTCCGGATCGAGTTTGTTGCATTTGAATTTTTCATAGTATCAGAAATTTCTGGTAGAGGAGCGCGAGTGCTCTCACGGAATCGGCTTCGCGTACGCGCGATAATTACGCGCCGTAACAATACGGCGGATGATGCTTCATGAAATATATATATATATATACGCGAGACGGAACATCAAACCGAGAGATCAATGAGAAAGCGACGGGAGAACGGGGGAGGGGTGAAAAGGGGATATATGATAGTAAGAGTTACGGGGTCGTGAATCACCATAGAGGGCCTCGCGTATGGCAAGTTGCTGTATGGCGAGGGCGACTGCGGCGGCTCATTGCCGCGGGATGGCAAGCCCTGATAACCCTGCGGTGGCGTTTGCTGCGACGATGGCGGATGATAGACCCGCGATGCCAAGGGCCCAGGGATGCCGCCCATAGTTGGCGTACAACTGCGCGAGCCCCTCGCCGCCGCCACAGGTGTACCCGGCTTGTCGACCTGGCGAACGCACGGTGTTTTGCACCCACACTTGCCGACACTTGTATCGCAATCGTACGATGTCCGGCTCGTCGTCGTCCGAGTCGTCGTAGGAGTCGGAGTCGTCGACCGTGCCGATTGCGATTCGCTGATTACGCCAGCCGCTTCGAGAACGCGATGCTTCTCTTTCTCTTATTTCTTTCTTTCTTTTTTTTTGCTGTTTCCAACGCGACTGATCGGACGATGCGTTCTGTGCTCTTCCGACATACTGTCTATCGATCACGCGAGATTCGGCTACAATTTGGTCGGTCCATCGTCGTCGCGGATACCGCGAGCGCGTTGCCGGTAACCGTTGGAGTTGCCGGACGTTACGGGTGTAACGGTGGAGTCGTTACTTTTCCGGAACGAGATTGCTCTGTGTATAGAGTTTTTTTTTTTGGCTGCACTCGACTGTGAATTTCGAAAATTCGTTTCACGAGACTTTGCAATTTGATGATTTCGACGGAGAAGAGGGTGCTGCTCTTCGGCACGCCTGTGGCCGTTTCATGCACACACTGCGTCATGTAGGCCTTATCATTCCTTAGATCGTGGATTATATGATTTTCAGCTTATAATGTACACATAAAGCGATGTCTGCAATGAGAATTTAAGACGTAAGACTTGAGCTTTAAGCCTTAAGAAATTGACCAATCCCAGTCGAACGCGAGAAGAATAATCGATTGCTCAATTTCTTACGACTTAAGTCTTAAAGCTCAAGCCTCGCGTCTCAAATTTTCATTGTAGATACCGCTTGAAATCGATAATCGCACAAATAGCTCTAATTATAATGGAAGGGTTATGATGACTCTAATTATGATTATCGGTTATATCCGTCGCTTTAGTTTATCAAAAACTGGCGATTCCCGCTTAAATACAGCAAATATTTTCGATGTACACATATATTAAAGTTGTTATATTTTTCTTTGGTTTATTCTCAGTTGGAGTATGGAAGTGTCTTACGATTGATCTACTTATGATGTAAATAAATTTTATTTATACCAATTTAATTTATTTATATCCATATTTCTATTATATATTTAATTATATTCACATGGTGAACTCAAGATGAATCCAGAATTTTTATATAAGAAATGCTACTGTTTATGTCTGTCATCTACGATTATTATAATTTTTGCATACTAAGCGGCTTGGCCGTAAATAAGTAAATACAATGTATCACTTATATAATTATCAATTTCTCGATTTTATGTGTATACGTGTAAAGCGAAAATCGTATAATTATCGACTTAGAGAGTGGTAAGGCATACATGACGGCGTGCATGCTTCTTCGAAATAACAGGGAATCGAGAATTCGCGGAAGAAGTCCGGCAACTTCAACTACCGCGCGAGAGGTAAGATGATCTTTACGTTACGTTCCGCGAGTCCCGAGATAGATTTCGACATGGTGGGACGCGACGGAGTCACGACTGGACCGGTCGTAGCGCCGAATAAGCTTACTCTCCGCGAGATCTTACATCTTTACTTTTCAGAGACGGTGTACTACGGGCGGAGGAGCTGCCGCTGCGCGACGGCGGCCTGTCCTTAACGGATGCCGAGCCCGCGCCGGATGTCGGTCCGCCGACGTGACCCGGTGCGCCCAGCTTCTCCAGGGTGCCGTTCTCGCGCGGGTCCGAGTGCTCCCCGTTCGCGTGCGGTGACGACGCTTCCTGTTTTTGCGAACAAACGCAAATCAGAGAGAGGAAGAGAAAGATTGAGTGAGTGAGTGAGTGAGTGAGTGAGTGTGAGAGAGAGAGAGAGAGAGAAAGAGAGAGAGTTTCGAACGAACGCACGAGTTCATTCGGCGCCGAACTCGCGAAGCGCTCAGACGAGCGCGCTTCCGGCGAGACTGCTCTCGCTCGTTGGAACTTTGATTATTATTACTTCGTGGATCACGTGTGTATCGGTGGTGCGCGCGCGATTCAGCCCCCATAGGGAAAGACGACGATCGCGTCCCCGACGACGGCGAGCTTGGAGGAATCCGAGCCAGCGGCCACCGCGTTTTAAAATCAATTTCGCGGCGCGAGTCGATCGAGAACTGTCGCCACTCTGGAGTTTTAATAAAACGTCAAACGAACTTTGGAGACTCGGAAAACTCTCGGTCCCGAAGGGCTCGTAGGCGAAGTAGTTATTTACGTAAATTAGTCAGCAATGTCTACATAAAGACACGATATCACAACGCATCCACGGAGAACCGGAGGATTAACAGTTCGTGACCCGGAACTCTTGAGACATCTGATCTGAATTTACAATTGGAACCGTATTATTTATCCACGATGAAAGATCCAAGGTGGATGGTTTATCGATTCAAAATGTTTCAGCCGAATCACATACTATTCACGTGGCATTATATTTGCAATCACGATTCAATTAAAACTCGCATTTTCGGCTCTGCGGCCGTTCAACAATTACGTCACACGAAATTTGAGTATTTTTACGTCCACTTTTTCGTCATATTCGTAACAAAATAATATTTTCCCCCTTCCAATATTACGTGACATATGAAATTATCCTCCCCCCTCCCTCGCCGACACAGAATAAGAAAAAAGAGTTTATAACTATATTGCGAATAATTATTATAGACTGCACGCTATCTTTTTCAAAAATACAATTAATTTTCAAGCATATCAAATTAATTACTTTATTTTATAACCCTGATTAGTAAAAGTTACGATTTTAACAGAATAAATATTTAAAAATTGACATTTAGATTATTGACGCAAAACCGTGTTAAAATTTAAAAATTCTCACCAAATGTGTCACGAGTGTATACAAATCGGATAACCACGCGCATTCATATTTACAAAGTATGCCATTTAATGTGACGCTCCATGACCTTTACTCCTTCCTCCCTGCCATTACAGACCTTCACGCAAGCTAATAACCCCTTTCCCTCGTGGTGTGACGTAATTGTCGAATGGCCCTTCTAAACTTAAATCCGAGCATCCCACGTGAGACAATTTCAAATAACGACTGTTGACACGGGCCCGACAGACACCGACTCTGTTCTTCTCCTTTCCTCTTCTCAACTAAAAAATTTCCTTACTCAGCTGTTATCTGTCTTACCTCATTTGCCACGTCGACGACCAAGTCCTGATCGCTCTTCTCCGCGTCGCTCTCCTGAAAAGTTCGAAGCGACGTGTGAGACAACGGTAACGAGAGCTCGGCGCGAAGAGCGGGGCGCGCGTCGGACCGGCAGCCGCATATTTAGCCGCTCCGCCAGGCCCGAGCGACTACTCGGTATACATCAACGACCTTTTGATGCGCCTTCGTCCAAGTAGACGAGCAACTCGACCCAAATTCGCGCGAGCGCCAGCGACGGCCGCTTCCTCGAGGATGCATTATTAATCTCGATATTTCGCGCGCTCTCTCGCTCGCCCGGCGCTCCGATTGTGTTACTCGCTCTCTCTTTCTCTCTCTCCAAAGTTGATGGCACAACGCCTAAAGAGACAACTAATAGAGCCACGGTACGCATCGACGCGAGCTTATAAATGCGTAATCCAAATCCGCGCCAAATCAAGACTCGCCGGTTTATGGATGTCGATTAAATAGACGCTTAAATATGTAACGAGACGACGGCTCTTCCCCTTTCTCCCTCCCTCTCTGTTCTCCCCCTCTTTATCTCCCGTCCTCTTTCAAGCGCGGTCCGTACTGCGTGCGAGTAATTAGCGAGAGGGGAGAGAAAGGAAGAGAGAGAGAGAGAGACTGATAAGGAGAGAAGAGGGAGGGAAGAGGGAAAACTCCATAGCTATCGTGAATAAATTTAATCGCGGATGTAAGAATTCGCGGCTACTACCGCATATAACGTTTATCTCGCGTCTGATTATATCTATAACAAGCTTCATTATTATTTCCGCAATTTCGCATTCACGTGATGCGAGCGGGCGGGCGCTCGCTCGCTCATTCGCTCCGCGTAGCGCACCGGCCGTGCGCGCGCGTGCTTATATCGCACACGGTTAATTTATGTGGCATTTATCTCGTAACACTACTTATCTTTCACTTCGTACAAGCGGCAGCGGCGGCGGCTCGCTCCTTGCTCCCGTCGCCGCCGTCCTCAGGACGCATAACGAGCTCAAAGCAGGGCATGCGATAGTAGCAGCATTGCCCGCCTAATGACGTAATATCACCGTACAACGCCCCATCAATGCATTACGCGTCGTACGTACGAAGGTGCACGCGAGATCGCACGGTGAGGGCGCGCGGGGGATGCGTGTGTATACGCGCTCACGCGGCGTTTACGGACGCAGCACGGAACCACCTGTGCGCGCCGGCGGCGTTTTAAGTAATTCAGCGAGTGTTTAAAAAATTCTCGCTAAACACCGCGTGCCGTCGTCTAACGTGATCTTTATCCGGCGTCCCAGCGCGCGCATAAATCGCGCTCGACTGGCCCGCTACCTCCACCGTGGGGGAAATCGCCCCTCCGGAGGACGAGACATTAGAATCGCGAGAACTCGATTGATGAATCGAGTGAGTCACCGAGAGGCTGTGAATCGCCTTTAAGCGCAGGCACTTTGCGGTAAATGCGCCTTGACGCTCTTTTTTCCTCGAGCTTTCCCGAAGTTAGTTCTTGAATTGAAAGAAATTCTCTCCGAGCGTCTGAAGCGAGTATCTCTTACATCGAACGGTTGATCATAATATTTAGAGATTAAACCGAGCTATTTTTGATGCTTCCGCACGTGTGTGTATGTGTGCATGTGCGCACAACGCTTCTATATTCGTACAAGGTTTATCCTCGGCGCGGGAGAAGGAGCACGCCGGCGAACAAAACGCTCTCCGCTCTTGATCCGCCCGAAAGATCGATACTTTTGAGGGCGTATTAGAGAAACGGCGGGGCGGACAGCCGGACGAGATAATCGGGGAGCTTTTTGCCCGAAGATAGCCGGGCGGATTTCCGAAAAGAAACGATCGTCAGCGCGTTAAATGGGCCGCGCGACATTAGCCGGCGGAGGGGGAGGTTACGAAATCGCAATCTGGCCGCGCGATATATCCTCGGCGGCGGCGCAGGAGGAGTAGCGGGGGATGTTCCGAGCTGCTAGGGACACGCAATAAATTTGTGTACGGATGATGAGCCTGGGTAAATAGAAGGCAGTGTGGTGGTATTGATTTCAGTGGTATATTACTCGGGCTGGCGCGGGCGGGTGGGCGAGGGGAGCAGAGCAGAGAGGTGGCGTTCAGGGGTGGCGGCGGCGGCGGCGGAGGAGTGCGGTTGTGAGAGAGGACGAGGGGCGAAGAAGGGTGACCAAGAGAGGAGCGGGAGAGAAGACCGAAGGAGACGAGGAAGAAGGAGGCCGGCGGGTGGAGGCTGTCTTCCACCCCTTAACCCGCTCGTTCTAGCGTTAAATATGATACAAATGTTATCATCCCTTCTATTCCGTTCTCCTGGTTCCCACCCGGCGGCGGCGGCGGCACACGAACCACGAGCGACCATCCTCTGACCCCCGTCGTCCCGCCGCCCACCCCTTCCTCCGCCGCGACGTCCTTCTCTTCCGTGCCACCATTCCCCACCCCTCTCACTCTCTCTATCTTTCTCTCTTCTCCTCTCTCTCTCCATCTCTCAAACTGTCTCTCTCGCGACGCTACTTCCTCCGCCGACCTCTTCCCTCGTTTAACCCGGGGATAGCGGGGATGACGGTATTAAGGGCAGCTCTATTATTCGACCACCCAACCACTCGACTCTTCGCCTCGAGAATCCTCGAATCCTTTTTTTGCCCTCCTCGCTCTTCTTCTCCTCCTCTTCCACCTCCTCCTCCTCTAACTCTCCGCGCTTCCTTCTCGGCTCGTTTCTTCTTCCGAGTTCCCTCGCCTCGCCCTTCGCGGCGCGCGCCCACCCTTCGTACTTTTCTGTTACAGTCCCTCCCTCCGTACCCTTCGCGGCCCCGCGCCAGAGTCTCACTCCATCGTTCCACGCCAGCCACCTTCTATCGAGGTCCTCTGTAAACAAACGCACGAGAGCGAAAGAAGAATCGAAGGCTTTCCGCCCTCTAACTCGCCCCCTCTCGCCCCACATCGTCTACTTCTTCTTCTTCTAGTTCTATTTCTCCTTCCTCTCCGTCTTTCTCTTCCCCTTCGTAGTCTCGTCACAGGCGCTTGCTGACTTTCGCAAAGTTAAGCGAGTGGCTACAATGGGAAAAGCAGCGTGTCCACTCTCGACGGGAATGGAATTACTCGACTATGCGAGCTCGGCTGTTGCGCAGCATGTGAGATCCGCCGCGACGAATGAGCGGGGATATCGTCCGCACATCGACGTTTCGATCTCTCTCTTTCACTCTCGCAGTACGACGTGTACCGTCGGAGGAAAGTTCTATGTAAATCCAATTGCTTCTTCGCGCTTCGAAAAAAATCACCTCGTAATCCTTTACATTTAGCAACAGTCGCGATATATATATAGAGAGAGAGAGAGAGAGAGGGAGAGAGAGAAACAGAGAGCGTGAACTCGTGCTCGCGATGCAACTCGAAAGCGATTTTTCCGTGATGCGTCATTCGGAGGGAAAAAAGGTAAATGATATTCCACATGACAGTTGTAGCAAAATGGTACGCTGATGTTGAAGCGCATTTTGATGATACACGAAATACGAGACGGAGCACTCTCGTGTACGTGTGCTTGTGTATGTATTCGGGCCAAGGCGACGACGCGTCGGTAAGCATTGTCCCATAACTTTTACGGGGGCGACTGCTTTTATGTTTCGAAGCGAGGACACAGTGGAAATGTATTAAAGCGATTATGTCGCCTGTTTCGCGCGCACAGGAGGATACACGAGAGAGAGAGAGAGAGAGAGAGAGACAGAGAGAACGACGTGCGGAGGGTGGGTTCGGCTCGCCGACGGCAAAAATCGCTCGTCGCCGACGGTAGGTCAGAAGTGGCCATTCGTGGTAGAAAAAGCAATAAAAGATTGCAATAAAACGCGTTTCTCTGTACTTCGAGAGAATACAGTCATAAGAGTATGGGGGCTTTCATACACGCAGAAGGGGGGTAGAAAGAAGAAAGGAGAGAGAACGGGGGAGAAAGGTAAGGCGAGCGAGCGAGAGACATAGAGAGAGAGAGAGGGAGAGAGAGCATTGACACAAACGGTAAATCATCGCGATGACGTCGGCGCTGTGTTAAAGTCATTATCAACGATGATGATCTTGTCGTCGAGTGCTTCCCCGCGAACCGACTCCGAGTCGGTTCGAAACTAACGCCGGACTTTGGCGAGTATGCCTCTTCAATGGAATAGTAATCTCGGCTTCGAACTTCAGAACTCAGAATCCGTCTCACAGAGCGCCGGGTCTCAGAATCCACGCTTTGCTGAATACGTCCCCTTAATGCGTCCTTAATGCGGGACTTATATACGTGCGACTCGGAAATTGACGTGTTTCGAGACTACGAGGCTGGGGATGATATTTTTCTTGTTTTCTGTCTCTCGTTCGCTTTCCCTCTCTCTCTCTCATTCTTTACACGCGCGGCGAAAACGTATTAAAGCGTTTTTCTAGCGCGGGAAGGCGCGAAGGAGCACAAGGGTCGCCGGGGGAAGAGAGAACGAAGGCGAGCGAGGGCGAAGAAACGGAAGAAAAGGGTAGCGGTCGTTGACGAGGAACGGGAGCAGAGGATGACGACGGGGAGGGGGGGGGGGGAGGANCGGGGGGGGGGGGGGGTGAGGAGAGGGTAGAGGGAATGGGGAGGTTAGCTCCGGGAAAAATGGTCGTAGGGCGGAGGAGAAAATAAAGGGGAAAACGGTTCGTATGAAAATGTAATTAGGGGAAGCGTGGAAGCTCAGCTCATTGCGGCCTCCACCCTTTTATTCCGCCACCTTTTCTCGCTTTCTCCGCTTACCCCTTGCCTTCCTTTACCCCTCCGCTATCACTCTTCCTCTTTCTCTTTCTTTCTCACTCACCCTCGCACACACTTCCGCCTTTCGTCTCTTCTGGATCCCGTTCTCTCACCTACCCACCGTGCGATTCCCCGTTGCCACCAATTATGATTCATTAATCGCGGCATGCGCGCCGATGACGAAATTTATCGACTTGCGGGAATTTTACGATATAACCATCACGATCCGGTGTTTATCTCCCGCTGATGCGAGAGCCTCGCGTTGACTTTTGCCGCGCTTTCGACGCGACGCGAGTTCGCGTGTAGCGTCGGACAAATTACACGCACACACGCACGCACACACGAGGCCCTCAAATTTGATCACGATTTCTCTGCGCGGACAGACCGTCGCGTTAAGTGGTACAAGTCGGTTATGATCAGACACACGCTCCGAATCAGCTGTTTTTCTCGCCTCAGCCATCAACACACGGTGACTTGGATTTTTCCCTTTGTAACACGTTTTTCTCATTAATACAGAATGTATATCGTCGAGTAGAATATTCCGGTAGAATATTCCAACGGAGCGCAAATATTTGCCGCGAAATAATCCTCTGCGATAAAGTACTCGTCGCGCGCGCGCGCAAAAAAAAAACGT